TTATAAGTTGTTATACAAGCTTGGAATTCGTCATCTCCGGAAAATAAAGTGATGTTTTCATCAGGGGAGACAAATACGCACTGTACTCTTTTTTCCTTGGTTAAGGTTTTATCCCACGGGGTTTTCCTGGCAAGGTTTTTAATGAGGCAGCAAGTAATGCGTATTACAAGATATGTGTACTCTTTTTTCTTCACTAGGATTTTTTTCCCACTGGGTTTTTCCTAGTAAGGTTTTAACGAGGCACATTATCTATGGACATCCAAGGGGGAGTGTTATGAAACATTATATTATGGTGGATGTCCATAACTCCTAAATGAATAACACCCACTACTCTTCTCCATTAACCTCCCACTACTTCTTACCATTATGGTTGTAACTCTCATACCTCCATAACCTCCCCATGATCTTCCTCCATGATCTCAAATGTTTAATGTCATGTTTATGACATTCTTTTGTATACCTCTATATAATACTATAAATAGAGGATGAGAAACGATATTGTATATACTTGGAAACCACCTGATGAAATAAGAATCTCTCGTCTCTTTCTCTCTACATTCTTGTCTATGTTCTTGTTTTATATTATTACTTTGATCTTAGTTTCTGAACAAAAGGATTTTAAATCTAAGAAATTGGAGTCAAGAATTTTATTTTATTTTTTATTCAAACCAACATGTGGTGGTGGTGGTGTGGGTGTGGGTGTGGGTGGGGTGGGGTGGAGGGGTGGGGGGTTAGGCCACGACCCCTACCAGTTTATTAATACCACAAAAAAATAGTATATGGAGGAGGATATAAACCTTGGCCTCCATTACATAGTGAAGAATGTTCTTAACCATCCTTATGGTGAACCGCTCAAAAGAAAGTTTCTAGCTAGAGGAAACTTCCTTTACAATTGACTTTAGTAAGATAGCAAAAAAAGTGAACAATGCTAGTAGCCCATTAATTACTAACTACTCATTCTGGCTTGTCTAACTCTAAAGTTAGTCACTTGAGCTTTCTCCATATGGAAAGAACCTCTAGCAGCTTGTGGTAGTTCTTGGACTGAGAAGAACATATAAGCAATCCCTTGATCGTGCATTGTGCCTCCAAATTTAGCTAGTGCATCTGCAACAGTATTCCCCTCCCTGAAACGATGCACTACTTCGATTTGCAGATGTTTAATGATAGACTGCACTCCATAATATCATCTACAATCTCCCAAGCATGTTTAAAGATACCTTTTAACATATTAACAATGAGCAACGAGTCCATCTCAAGAGTAATATTCCTGATATTATAAAATTGACACCAGAAAATTTCAAATAATTTTGCTTTGGATTCTACCACATTGTTAGTGCAGAACTGGATTGGTTTAGTAAAAGCCATAACAATCTCTCCATTTTCGTATCTAACAATGCCACCAATACCAGCAGTCCTATGAAGATTATTGCTACTCTCACCGGTAATTAATTTCAGTCTGCGAGATGGTGGAAATTCCCATTTAACATGCCGAATATGCAGGTTATGATGGAAAGCTTCAACTCTGGAACAAATTTGTGACCATGAGCCGCTTCATTCCAACCCCTTAAACTGAATTCTGAGTAGCAGGCATGTAAGGGACATAACCTGGAATATTATGGTATTCGCAGCGGATCTCTCAGAAGAATATTTTGCACTGCACCTGTCTTTCCATAACTCCCAACAGATGATGGATGGTACACACTGAAGTATGAAAGCATTTTCTTCATTCTTAGGCTTGAACAACCACCATTTCATTAGAGATTGCCTCAGAGTTGCAGTATTTGAAATGACTAGAGCTTGGCCAAAGAAGTGCCATACTCTCTTGGCTTTCCAACTAGTATTGAGAATATGTAGGATGGTGTCTTCTTGAGGATATCCACAACAATAGCATATACTAGGACCATGGATACCAAACTCATCAGTAGGTAGTCTTGATCTGAGTAGTCTTAGCATAAAAAAAGATACCTTAAAAGGTAATTTTTTGTGCCAACATGGGCTACCCAGTAAGTGTGGTGCCTTTCTTCTGTTTCATTACCCTATGAGCTGATTGGCAAGTGAAAACACCATTAGGAGCTGGAGGCCAAATGGCCCTATCCTCTCCTTCTGCTCCTAATTTGATTGCAACTAGTTTATCAATGATATGCTGGGGTAAACGATCCTTGATTGCATCTAGGTTCAGTCTTTCCCCCTCCATGAACTGCTTCAACTTAGTTTTACCAGGTTTAGGCCTTGAATTTCTTGTTTCTGCTAGAGCACCTAAACCTACCAGTTGTCCCACCATAAGGACATATTTCCATCCTTAACTTGCCTAAGGATGAACTTTTCAACTTTGGACTTAACCTCCATGAGCCATTTCCAAACATGGAACTATCCAGAAGACCATACTTTGGCTACTGGATGTCTTCTCTCACAATATTTAGCCTCAGTAAAATCTCTTCATAAGGATTGCTTTGTTCTAAACCTCCATCAATTCTTAGCAGCAAACATGAGACACACATCCTGGATGGACCTGAAGCCTGCTTCTCCTTCTTCATGTGAGTAACATAACAAGTTCCAAGCAAACTAATGATGCTTAGATTTCCCTTCTAGTTCTCCCCAGAAGAAATTTGCTATCACCCTTGCAATATGCTTCAAATTGGTTTTTGGTGGGTCTACATCTGATAATATATGCATAGGTAAGGAGTATAGACTTTATCTAAAAAGCCTTTCCTCTATGGGATAATAACTTGTTGTTCCATCCTTGTACCCTGTTGTTAATCTTGGACACCATATCATTGAAGTAGCAAATTTCCTTCCTCCCCACATAAATAGGGGCTCCGAGGTATGTGAATGGGAACAACTTATGTTGAAACCCAGTAAAGAGTCTGATATCCTCAATACTATTCTGACTTGCATTAGGAGCCACCAAGAAAGCTGATTTTTCTTTATTCACCAGCTTTCCAGGGATCTCTTCATATGTGTGTAAGCATTGCATCAAAAGTCTGATGGACTCCATGTCTCCTGATGTGAAGAGTATAGTGTCATCAGCATAATCCAAATGTGTAATCACATGTCCTGGCTTTTCCATTGAATATGGACAAAGTCAGCTTGTTCAGGAAGTTGGTTCAGCATCCTTGAAAGTAATTTTGCACATAGAACAAACAATGAGGGGGATAGGGGATCCCCTTTCCTAAGTCCCCTAAAGGAATGGAAAAACCCCTTCCTAACTCCATTGATATTGATAGAGTACCAGATGTTGGATACCAGCCTCCATACCATATCAATCCAAAGTTCATCAAATCCTAAAGCTCTAAGAATCTGACAAAGAAAAGGCCAAGAACTCTATCATAAGCTTTAGACATGTCTAGCTTAAAAACTACATTACCATCCTTATTAGACCTAGGAATGTTATGCACCAACTCCTGGACTAACATAATATCCTCACTTATAGACATACCCTTAATAAAACTAGATTGATTAGGTGAGATAAAATTAGGTAGCAGAGGAGCAAGTCTGATATTCAAAAGTTTAGAAATAATTTTACAAAAAATATTACCACGACTGATAGGCCTAAGGTCAGACATGTTAACTGGATTGTCAATTTTAGGGAGCATAATCAGAGAAGTGTGAGTGAGTGATTTAGGAATAGAATCCCCAGAAAAAAAGCTCTAACCATCCTAAGAAGATCCCCTTTAATGATATCCCAGCAACACTGATAGAATTTGCCATTAAAGCCATTAGGACCAAGACATGAATCTGTATACAATGAAAAGACCACCTCTCTTAATTCCTTCTCATAGGGTTTTGAGATTAGCCTGCTATTCGCCTCAGTAGAGACTAGTTTTAGAAGACAAGATAATGCATTGAAGTTAATCATTTGATCAGAGTGAGAAAACAACTGTCGGTAGAACTCAGTGGCTTCGGCGGCAATCTGTTCCTCACCTGTAGCCCATGTTCCATCTCTTCTTTTAATCTTTAACAAAGTAAGTTTCCTCCTCCTTCTATTTACAGATGAATGGAAGAACTTAGTGTTAAAGACCCCTCCAGTAGCCCATTCAGGTTGGCTTTTTTGCTTCCAGAATAATTTCTTAAGCTTCAAATGTTTAACCATTTCAGCATTCTTCTTATTCAGTAGCTCCCTGCTTCTTTCAGAATTAACCTGCAGGCATTCCTCTTCACATTTTATAACCTCCCCTCTAGTCTTATGGTAGTCGCAAATTTATCTCCTATGTTATTTCTAGACCATTCAGATAGTGCAGCAGCTGTATTTTTCAACTTCAAATGAAATTTCCAAAGTGGATTTCCATTCAGCTCTTTTTGCCATGCCTGCTTGACCACTTCCTGGAAGCCAGTTATATCAGTCCAAAAGTACAAAAAACCTAAAGTATTTTTGTGAACTTCGTTGGGAACCTTCAATAGACATGAGCATGGGGGCATGATCAGATCCATTTCTACTCAGATGTTGGACATGAGTCCGACGGAATAGATCAAGTCATTCATGGTTAATCAAGACACTATCTAGTCTTTTCCAAATCCTGTATCTAGGAGCCCTACCATTACACCATATGTAGATTGATCCAGTGTATCCAGTGTCAACTAGGCAGCAGTCTATCATACAATTCACAAACAGGATACTTTTGTAGGCTTTATGAGCTATCCCACCCTTCTTTTCTGAAGCCTCAGTGGCCACACTAAAATCCCTGATCATAGTCCAAGGTATTGAATAAACAACTGCTAATGCTCTCAGGGAGTTCCAAAGTTCAAACCCTTGAGCATGTTTTGATTTAGCATAGACCACATATACCAAACATTTAGTATCCGCTAATATTCCAAATGAGTGACTTAATCATGGAAAACAATTAAGATGGAGGGATGTTTGACCCGGCCTTAGACCTGGTTTTAGGTGGATTAAGTCCTACTCTACCTCCACCTCTACCTATAATTCTTCCACCCCCTCTTCCCTTTCCAATATATAAACCTCTAGGGGAGAGATTCTCCTGAGCTGTGATGTCACCAAATGCTTAATCTACACTGTTTGGTATTTCCGGTTGGTCATAGTGTTGTGAGGTGAAACTTTGTAGAAGCAGATTAGCAGTCTCTTCTTCACTATCTTCCTCCTCTTCTTCATTAGAAAAATCATCTTCTATACTCTCATACTCTTCTTCATCTTCCTCTATTGATTCTTCATCACTCTCAGTATTCAGACCCATTGGTTCATGGTACTCCTCATGAGGAATCTGGTTTCTAGACTTCTTTATGATAGAATTATCAACTCCATCTTTGTTCTCTGGTGATTCCAGGATTGTTAAAGGTGAATTCTGCTTTGAGGTTGGTGGCAATGTTGGATCGTGGCATTTAATGACTAGTTCTAATGTTTGTGGCTTACTATTCTGCATTGTAGCATTAGGGGCCTGTTGTTGGACTTGTATTCTGTCTTTTTGGATTGGTGTCACTTTACTACTTTGTTTACCATCTATTGTATTGTCATCTCTATTTCCTTTCTGTTTTATTTTCTTTGTCTTTGGTTTTGGCTTCACCTTCTGCATATCATATCTGGATAGATCCACTTGGATACTTTCTATCTCAATGACTACCTTCTTCTCTTTTTGTGGTCCTGTAGATGCCCTAGTTTCTTCTATTCTTTCTTTGACTTCCTTTGCTTGTTGGTTGTGCACCCTTAGTTGCTGAACTTCTTTGTTCGTTTCCTGTATCTCTGTCTCTGGAGCTATGGATTGATCAGTGTCTCTTTTGGATGTTTCTTGATTTGTTGCATTAACATGGTAAGTGGATTTATTATTCTGTAAAGGTGTAGGTTCTTTGGTAACCATTGTTGTCTTCTTGTTGTTTGATTTTCTGCTCTTCTTTCTTGTAACTTCCTGAAAACTATCATCATCTATCACCTCCTTTGCCTTAAGGATTATTTCCTTTTGATCTTCCTCTTTTCGAATCATCATCCTTTCATTTCTTGCCTTGGTTCTACATTAGCTCTCAACATGACCTTGTAGTTGACAATAAGAACAATAAGTTGGTTCCCCTTCATATTCAATGTCCAACCACTTACCATCGTCAGTGCCATCTAATCTCGAGAATCCTAGCCATAATTGATCTAGCTTAGGTTTTAGAAGATTGATCTCCACCTTGACTTTTGCTACATTACCTCTAGATTTGGAATCGACGGCTTGATCAGAAGCAACGACAGGGCCCACAGCTTCCACCATTCTTGAAATAACATCCTATAAAAACTAGTGCCATGGCTATTGGTGAATTAGAATCTAGACAAGAACAATTTGTGTCTCACTTTCAGGTTTGAAGTCCGGGGTCCATTTGGATCTTCACTGGACAGCACCAAAGTGTATAAGGTTTTGGAGTAAATATGATTAATCCACCTCATTTGCAAAGTCAAGATAAACCTACTTGTGATCAAAATATGTAATTTTGACTGGAGCTTTTAGGTGGAACTGACTAAGAAAGATCTTTATGATTTCCTCCATCGTAGGCTTAGTTTTAAGAAATTTCCCAATGATAGTTAGTTTACAGTCTTGATCAAGATTGACGAAATAGTCTTGTGTCTGAAGAATACAATAGGTTTGCCTAAGTGTGTACCATGCTTAATTTGCACTGGTGGAGCGTTCTTAACGGAATTAGGCAAACTAGTGTAACGACCCGACCGGTCGTTTCGAGAGTTATAGCCCCGTTAGCCTGTTTTCTTCTTCTTTTTGTGTTCTTCAACTGTATTTTGACTTACCGGGTTAGTTGGTTCGGGTCCAGAGTGGTTTTGGAGTAAATTGAGACACTTAATCTCTTTTGTGAAGGCTTGAGTTGGGAAAGTTGACTGGATGTTGACTTATATGTAAACGACTTTAGATTTGAATTTCAATGGTTCCGTTAGCTCCGTTAGGTGATTCTGAACTTAGGAGCGCATCCGGAATGTGATTTGGAGGTCCGTGGTAGAATTAGGCATGAATTGGCGAAAGTTAGAATTTTGACAATTATGGCCGGTAGTGGAAATTTGGATATCGGGGTCGAAATGGAATTGCGGAAGTTGGAGTAGGTTCGAGGTGTCATTTATGACTTGTGTGCAAAATTTGGGGTCATTCGGACGTGATTTGATAGGTTTTCGGCGTCGTTTGTGAAAATTGAAAGTTTAGGAGTTCTTAGGCTTGAATCCGAGGGAAATTCGTGTTTTTGATGTTGTTCGAGGTGATTTGGTGATTGGACTAAGTTCGTATGATGTTATGGGACGTGTTGGTATGTTTGGTTAAGGTCCCGAGGGCCTCGAGTTGATTTCGCGTCAGAAGAAGATTGAAGTTTGAAGGATTTCTGAAATGGTCTGTTTCTGGTGTTTTCGCACTTGCGGTGGGGAGCCCGCAGGTGCGGACCGCAAAATCGAAGAGGGGCTTGCAGATGCGGGCAGGAGTGGGTTGGACTGGAAGCGCAGGTGAGAGATTTTGAGCGCACCTGCGAGATCGCATATGCAGTATTGGAGCGCAAATGCGAAAAGACGCGTGAGGATGGATGATCGCAGAAGCGGGCAAGGCCCGTAGGTGCGAGTTTGTGACCGCAGATGCGGACTTTGAGGGAGTAAGTGGGATCCGCACCTGCGATGGATTTTCTGCAGGTGCGGCATCGCATAAGCGTGAATATTACCGTAGATGCGGTTTTGCTGGGCAGAACCTATAAATTGAAGACTTCGCGAATTTTGCTCATTTCCACCATTTTTGAAGACGGGTTTTGGAGATTTTGGAGTGATATTGAAGGGATATTCAAGGGGATTTCAGTGAGGTAAGTTGTTTGAGATCTAGTACTCCTATCTATGGTGTTTTCCCGTTGTTGCATCAATTAATTAATGGAAATTAGCGGTGAAAATAAGGGGTTAGGGCTTGGGATTTTGGAGAGTTGATTTGAGGATTTGAGGGACCAAATGGAGTCGGACTTTGATAAATTTTGTATGTATGGACTCGTGAGTGAATAGGCTTCCTAGTTTTGTGACTTTTGTCGAATTTTGAGATGCGGGCCCCGGGTCGAGTTTGAGTGAATTTCGGGATTTGTGTCCAATTAAGTAATTTTTCTTGTGGAATTGTTCCTTGGCCTATATTGATTGCATTGTATTACTTTTGGCTAGATTCGGGACATTTGGAGGCCGATTCGAACAGAATATCAACTGTACTCAGTCTTATTCATGCATTTCATATCATGTCTCAGTCTCAGTTGTTATTTATTTGGCACATCATATCATTGTTCCGGGATAGTTTTCATGATATTTTGAGCCCGTGCGTGAGACTGGAGAGTGATGACTGAGTGAGGCCGAGAGCCTGATTATGAGTGACAGTTATGGGATCGGGCTGCACGCCGTAGCGGTTATGTTGATGATTATAATAGCGCTTGGGCTGTAGGAGCCCCTCCGGAATCTGTAACACACCCCTAGTGAGCGCAGATGATATTATTGAGGGATGGATTTCCCTGGACATGGATTTGTCCGAAGTATTGATATTTGGAGATGGATTTCTCTATAGGGTTGGATTAACCTTTTCCTCGGTACCGAGTGACTTATAGTCAGCATTGAGTATGTTCCGGGGTGGATTTCTCTGGGCCGGATGGCCATATGCGGTACCGAGTGGTTGAGTATGTATATATATACCTGGAGATGGATTCCTCCTCAAGGTTGAATTACCTTTCTTCCTCGGTACTGTTTGACTTGCAGTCAGTGTTGTATATGTTCCGGGATGGATTTCCCTGGGCCGGATGGCCATATGCAGTACCGAGTGGTTGAACACTTGAGGGTGGGAGCACATGGTGCATTGTGATACATTCTATGCATTGGCATGTAGAGTTTAGCTGAGCTTTATATCTCACATTGTTCAGATCTGTATCTATTTTTCTGTTTGCGATGTATACTTAAATTGATAACATGCCTATTTTTCCTGCACAATTATTTCTGTTACCTGTTGAGGTTAAGTTCGTCACTACCTATCAGTCTATAGTTTGGACTTGTTACTTACTGAGTTGGTGTACTCACGTTACCCCCTGCACCTTGTGTGCAGATCCGGGTATCTCTGGCCACGGTATCGGTCGTTCATTTACTCAGTAGCGGATCAACGGAGATAGCGAGGTAGATGCCTGGCGATCACAGTCCTGCTTTTCTCCTTCTTTATCTTCCCTTTAGTGTACTTTGGTTATTCTCAGACTATGTTAGTCTTGCTGTTTTCAGGACAGTTGTAGTAGTTTCTTATGACTTAGTGACACCCCGATGTCGGTCTTTCTTTTCCGCACTTTTTTCTTGATTTGAACTCCTTTATGGAGGTTTTATATTAAATAATTTTGGAATTATCTTTGAAATGAAAATATCGGTTTGTTTTGATAATGTGTCAGCTTGCCTAGTACCACGATAGGCGCCATCACGACAGGGTTGGTTTTTGGGTCGTGACAACTAGTTTGTACAGTAGCCAAAAAGGACGGCTTGAAAATTACATGGGTCTTACCAGTCGATGATGAAGGGAATGTTGAATCATGTTTTTGATTGTAGACTGAATTGATTAGATCGGCAGGAGGTACAATTGCATTTTGGATGGAAAAATTGACATGATATCCTTGAGTGGAAAAAAATGTTGGATTTCAACCTTTTTGTAGTAGCTATTTTACCATAATAAGTTAGGTCTCTATGGGACTGAGGAACTTCAACTGAGTCCAAAACTTAAATAATGCCTTTTTGGGCAAAAAATACCTTTTTACTGTTAAAAAAAAGTCACATAACTACATAATTCGCAGTATAATACTGCGAATTACTTTAACGGAAAGTTAGCCATTAAAGTGATTCACAGTATTATACTGCGAATTATTAAAAAAATAATTTTTTTTGATAAAACCCAGTACTACACTGCGATCAACACAATTCGCAGTATAATACTGCGAATCGCTATAATAAAATATAGCCCCTTCTTCTTCCCCAAGATAACGACAGTGAATCCCCCATTTTTAAACTCCATCGTTGCTGGTCCCCTGATCGCTGCCAACTCAACACTACACCAAGGTAGGAAGAGCGGGTCGCAATAGCTTTTGCCCGAATAGTGGTCGGGGTCGATTTTCACAGGGAGCTAGTAGTGGAGTTGGATTTTCTGTCTAGTCTAGAGATGTGTTTGTGCTCCTAATGTCCCTTCAAACATTCTTGGTTTTTGATTTTTATAACTACTATGATAAAACTACTGATTAACGCTAAATTATGCTACTAAATATTGCTAATTTGTATCTAATGGGAAGAAGGGCACTAGGGTCGTGGCATTACCTAGGTGGCTAATTGACGGGTAGATGTTACTAAGGATAGATTGACATATTTGGGGCTTATGCTATAACCGTTGCACAATTGTACCCACTCTCACACCTCTCGGTAGAGAGAATGATTTTGCCCAATTGACTCTCTCGAGGCCAATTGGGTAGGCCAATTAGATCAAGCAACTAGGATTCAAGTAGGGTGATTACTCTCTCGAGATTTAACCCGTTAATTGGGACTATTATTTCTCATGAGTCCATCCCAATTCCTTGTTGGATCAATTTTGGGGTCAAAGACTCTCTTTCTCAAGAAGAGTCAAACCCACAAAGCTTGAATCAGTGGTTGCAACCATCGATTCTTAAATAAAAACATAAAATCAACCCAAATAGCAAACACCCATAATCAATCTAACCCTAGATGGCAACACCCATAAATTACCCACACTAGGGTTGAGCCACAACCCTAGCTAATGGGTTTAGCTACTCATGCGAGATACAGAAATTGAAGAAATAGATGAAGAAATAAGCATATTAATTGATTACTAAGAAGAAGCTACAATAATCTATCGTTAATGAAGAGCAAAAGTGCCGAAAATGGCTACAAAAGTGAGTCTCACGAGCGCAGCTAAGTCTGGAATATAAAGCTTGACCTAAAAATGGTAAAATGTCCTATTTATACTAGGCTGGAAAA